CAGCCTTGCCTTTTTTTTTTTTTTTTTTTTTTTTTTGAGACATAGTCTTGCTCTGTCACCTAGGCTGGAGTGCAGTGGCATGAACTTGGCTCACTGCAACTTTGGTTTTCTGGGCTCAAGCAATCCTCTCACTTCAGCCTCCCAGGTAGCTGGGACTACAGGTGCACACCACTATACTTGGCTCATTTTAAAATGTGTTGTAGAGACGAGAGCTCATTATATTGCCCAGGCTGGTCTTGAACTCATGGGCTCATGTGATCCTCCCGCCTTGTCCTCTCAAAGTGTTGGAATTACAGGTGTGAGCCATCATGCCTGGCTGAGATCTACTTTTCATTTGAAGCCTTGGTATCTTGGTGGTGGTGGGGGGTAGCATATTGAGCCCACCTGGGGAATGGGCGGTGCTTGAGCCAGGTGGGAACAATGTGCTGCCAATGATATATCTTACTTCCCTCTTCAATAATAACCCAGCAGGAAATGGAAATGCACTGCAGTGTTACCTGAACTAGAGACGTATCCTAGATTTTGTCTCTTCTTTGGTACCACTTCTGAGAAATTCTGACTTTGTTATCTTCCTCAAAAGAATGGAAACTTATTTATATGATTGCTTCTGACCAGGCATCAATAACAAGAAATGGAGAGCAAATACTTTGTATAGACACCAGAATGGCTAACAAAGGTGACATCATGCTGAGTTGCAAGGAAGGCACCATTCCCTTGGGCAAATGTTGAGAGACATGAGCCATCCTCTCCAGGCACTTGATCTGGGACTATGCCTTGAATGAAGTCATTATGGCAGAAGAGGAAAGAATGAAAACTTGAGCTTACTGTGTTTGTGATGTTGATTTCTGTGGAATTTAAAATTTGTTAGCTGGTGGATACACATTGTTAATTTGAATACTCTTCATTATAAAAATAATCTGCTAAGTTTTCATCCCTGGAAATTGTTATGAAAGCAAAAACAGTCACCTAAGGGAATATTTGAACATCCATATACCTAATGACTAGAGTCATGGCTACACTTTAAAAGGCTCCTTTCTAGTTGTCATTAGAAATCTCAGTTGAGAATCCTTGGAGCGTCTGCAGCCCATATCAGGTGATGATGACACAATAATTAAGTTCTATCAACAATGGTGAATCAGGATTTGATTGAGTTTCTCTGTAGAGCTCTCATAGTGATGAAATACCTGGGCAGAAGTACTTCTCCCACCTCTATGCAGCAAAATAGTTAGTGGTGAGGTGCTATGCAATTTTAGAAATGAGCAACATACTCTGTTTTAAATATGATACAGAAACTGATCTGAGTCCCACCTGGGAGGTGAGCTTCATCATCACAACTCCGTGGGCTGGAGGCTAAAGCTCTGAAGGGAGAAAAAACCGAGGTAGGCATATTTTGTGCTTTTGTTAAATGGGCCTCAAACGCCTCCAGTCATTTATTTGTTGAAGACAGGGTCATCTTATTGAATTCAGCAGGAAAACAACTGTACCAGAAAGAGAAAAGCTGTCTCAATCTTCTCTGTATTTCAAAGGTATTTCACATATGCTCCTCATGAAGGAGACTGCACAGGGAATCAGACCCCGGTGCCTGCTTTGCCTCTCTTGCACAGGGTTAAGTAAGGGAAGCCCCTGACTCACAAGTGCATCCTGGCTGTTTAAGGTTATGCATATTGTGTCTGAATGTATAACTATGGTAAATGTATATTCTGGAGCAATGTTAAATTCAGCTTAGGACGATGTACTGCTTAGAGTTTTGAGGGAAAACATAAGAATGATGAAATGAGCCTAAATTATTTTTGAAAAAACACTGCTCTCCTAACCCATTTGACGATCTATTACTTCCTTCTGGGCTGCTCCCTTCCCAAGAGATTTGGTACAGGAGGCAAGGAAGGACAATAAGAGAGGTTAGGAAGAAGCACCTTGGGATGCTGACACCCTCTGCCTTATCCTTCTAACTCAAGGACAAGCAGCGTTGGGTTGAATACAAGGTCCTTTCTTCCAAAACTGGGCACAGACAGAAACATACATATAGATGCAAAACCACTATGATCCTGTGATAGGAGCTGGAATCACTTCCCTTTAGACTCAATTTCCTTTCATTTTCATTAGGTAGGGGGTCAGCCTCTCACCTTGCAGTGTTGGGTGGAGATGGCTTAAGATCAAACTTCTCATTTTAACTCTTACTTCCAAGATTTATTTTGTATTAAAAAAAAAAATGAGCCTGTCCCGTTCGTTACCTCCTCACCTGGGTATTTTATCAGGACTGAGCACATAGTTATTTTCTGAGGGCTGGAGCAACCTGCAGTCCTTTCTAATCAAAGATTTTTTAATCAGCTGGCTTTGAAATCACACCGTCCTCCCGGGGTCCCTGGGGCACACCACCTCCCTGTGATTTCTACTCAAGTTTTCCCCGGCACCCCCCAGCACCCGTTCCATACCTATTTAATCTTTAAACTGCCTCTAATCCTTTTGCAAGGAAGCGGGATGAAATGCTCAAACCACAGTTACACACGATGTTGATTCTCAGGTTCACACATTTGAGGAATTGTTTGAACAAGAAATGCGCTCAGTACTATAATCCAGGGGGCAGGCACGGTGCCTGGGCGACCCTCATAGTCTCCCTCCGACACCCCGCATCCCAACTCCCGCCGCCTTTGCGCCTCAAAGCTGGCAAACATTCCCAAGCCAGATCTAGAGTACCTGGAGTGGGTGCGGGTAAGAAGAGAAGCCAAGGTCGTCCCGGAAGGTGTGCGCCCCTCACCTTGTGGATGGTGCGTGCAGCCGTGCCGCACTGGGCAAACTGGGGCGTCCCGCTGGCTCCAGAAGTCTCACTCGGAACCCGCTCCTTTTTCTCCTGAGCTGGATCAAAGCACTGCTTTTCTCAACATTCGATTCAGGAATGCGTTGAACCCAGGGCGTTCTCCCCGCCAGCGTCCTTGCCCGCGCCAGTGCCCGCCGGGGTGCGGCGAGACAGAACCTGGGAGCGCGGCGCGCCGGGCAGCCCGAGGCACCGCGGGTGGCAGGCACTGCGCTTCGTCGAGTCTGGGCGCCTGGGCTGGAAGAGGAGGCGACAGAGAGAGAGAGAGCGGGGAAGAAAGAGGAGGAGGAGGAGGAGCAGAAGCAGGGGCAGGGGCAGTCTGCTAAATCATCTACGCAGGTCGCAGCCTCCCAGGACACCGTGAACAGAGAGGGGGGTGGGGTGGGGGTGGGATGAAAAGATGAGCCCGGGTGTGAGGCAGGTGGTGTTGTGAACTGGAGGTCGCAGCTCCGAGGTGCTCCAGGTCTTGCTTAGGTTGTAAAAGAGATATTATGGAGCTGATGGCGCCTTAGGGCTCCCGGTTGCAAACACTAGAGGGCAGGGCTGTCCGTGTTATAAACGGGGCCTGCGGGGTTGGCGGTGTGTGCAAGGGACTCACCTCCTGAGCCCCTTGCGGGCCACAGCCCTGGCGGAGAAGGGGAAAATAGATGCAACAAGGGGGCAGACCCTACTCCCCTCTTCTGCAGAGAACCTGGGTTGAGGAGGGAGAGGAACAGCGGTTGACAGATTTGCACGCCTTCTCTGCGGGGCTCCAACAGGCAAACCCTCTGGAGGTGCATTTCTTAGCTTTCCTCCAGGGGAGATTACAGTCAACATCCACAGAACGCCTCAAGGAGAGAGATTACAAGGAAGGGGTGAGGGAGAAGTGGATGAAAATTGGGGTGGGTCAAAGTGGAAGTGGGGAAGAGAGATGGGGAAAGCAGTGAAGAAAAGGAGAGGGAGGATGGAGTGGTTGGGGCTGAAAGACCTGGTGAAGCAGCCTTGCCTTTTTTTTTTTTTTTTTTTTTTTTAGGGAAGTCTACCTGGGTGCCATCTCAGGTTGGCAGAGGGCTTTGTGCTCTTCTTAGGGTGCCAGGGGCTGTTCTTTTTGATGTGCTGCTGCGGCAAGGTCAGAAAAGTTAAGCTGGAAGGGACTTTACAGAATCCTGGCAGTGCTAAAAGAAGCTTCCTTAGGGCTGGTTGGTTATTCTCTGTGGAGAACTTGGGCGACTCAACTTTGAAGCTTAACATGGATCGAGTCCCTGCCATTGTAAAAAAAGAAAATCAGATTGTTCAGACTAGCCATAAAATGAACTAGACAATCTTATGGAGAGAGTATGGTCTGTAGACAACCTGATACACGCATCTTAGAGTTGGAAGGACCTTGGAAATCATGTAGGCAACTTGGGTAGCTTCCCCAAACACCTGCCTCACACTTTTCTTTCTGGTTTGCAGCCTTATGGCTGATCTGAAAAGCACTTTAAGTTATTTATTTATTTTTTGAAGTTTGGCAATTCTAAACCAAATGAAACCCTTCTTAAGTTCAAAAAGCAAGCCTACATGCCCTTCCTCCTGCCTTCTGGAGTGCCTCTCAAGGCCAGCAGGGGCTGACTGATGGATGTCAGGGGAATTTCACTGAACAAGAGAAAGGAAGATTGGTAAACTATAGTCTTGAATTGTGATTTGCTTCTGTTAATCCCATTAAACTGAGAATAGGCTTAAGTAGACTGAAGTCTAACAGGAGGATGAGGTGGAAATATGTTTTTCTACTAAAGATGACACAGCTTGAAGTTTGTTTGATGATAAAGGTATTATGTAAAAATAAACAGAACAAGAATCATTCCTCATTTAAAAAAAGAATCTTATAGAACTGAAGTTTTTTTAGATATTCCAAGAGAGTAAGTAAGGACATTGTCCTACTCTGGCAAATTTGGAGTTCCTCCAAAATATAAAGGAAATATGAGTTTGTTAAATTCCTTTTTAAAAAATTGATTTACCTATTTTTTGGTTATTACAATGTAAAGAACTATGGAAACAAATATTATACACTTGGAAACGATCCTGAGCATACCTCAGAATACCCGCTTTTTGGCAGATGTTCAGCTTTATGAAGTGTCTGATTATTTTCAAGCTATTAATTAACTTCTGGCATATATTTCACCAGTTTTAATAAAATCAATGCTCTCTTAGTCAAGAGCTGATAATTCAATTTGTATTACCCATTTGAATTTCCAATGGGCTCTATGAGTGCTTTAAGATTGTAGGTATACATCCCCATTTCATAATAGAGAATTCCTTGTCACTTAAAAAACTATAAGGATTGCATGGAGCCCTGGACATCTGGCATAAAAAATTCATCAACTTGCAGCAGTAACTAAAAAGTCATTATGAAGAAATTATCAAATCCACTCATTCGTTAATTCAAAAAATGTTGATAAATATCTACCGTGTTTGAGGCACAAGGCAACTTCTAGGACTAAAATAACGAAGAAACAGTTTATTCTCTCAGTGGGAAGACTGAGTCCCAAACTAGTAAATCCATTCCAGAGTAACAGTTTGGAGAAGGGGGAAGTACAGGATATTATGGGAGCACAAAGGAGGGCAATCTAATCCAGGTTTTAGGACCAGGGAGTAATTGCTGGAAGTGGTGCTGGCAGTGGTGGTGTGTATAGGTGGTGGGGTGGTTGATAGTGGTTGGGAGAGGGAAAAATAATGAACAATGGATTCCCTCCATCTCCTAGACAATCCTAATTACATTTGTTAACTTTTCACTTGGATGCTAGAACTTCACATTAATAGATGAGGAAGCAAGCATGCACATGGTACATTTTTCTGCTAGAAGTAAGACTACAAGTTTTGTGAGGCAGGAACTGTGTATAACTTGTTCATCATATGATTACAGAGAAGAATCAAGATTCTGGTTGACATTGTCTGTCATTTCCTACCTCTACCATGGAAATGGGAATGAAACATGAAGGGAAGGTGCTATGGTGGTGAGGGAGCTCACACCATCCTAGGTGCTCTCCATACACTATTCCGCTAAACAATTTCAACAACCCTGTGACATAGTTCTCTCATTTTACTGTTGGTTTCAGAGACTGAGCTTCAAACTGCATTTTATGTCTGTGGTGTGACAAAGGCCAGAGGGAGAGAATGAAATGTTTATAGGTAGGTTTTAACATTTGTCAGCTTTCAGGAAGTTATGCTAAGGTAACCAAGCATAACCCTCAAATCTCAGTGTCTTGCTATGGTAGAAGTTAGCGGCTTGCTAATAAAGGTATTAGCCGTGGATTGTCTGCAGCTGCATTTTGGGATCCAGACTGAAGAAGTCAGGCCATTTTCATGGTAGAGGGAAGAGTAATGGGGGAACATCACAGTGGTTCTTAAGGCTTCAGCTGAATTATGAGATAAATCACTTATGCTCACATTCCATTGGCTAACCCAAATCATATGGCTAAGCCTGATGTCAAGTGAATAAAAAGCAGGCTTCCTCCACTGGGAAGGATTCCAGAGAGGGCTACTGCAGAGATGGGCCTGAGAGTCACAATATTTTGTGAATAAATTATTAAATTGACAACAATCTCCAGCAATGCTTTTGAATGAAGGCATTTTCACTACAAAATGTTTTATTTGCAGATACTATTGGCTAACTGTGTTCACCAACCTCATGATACAGGGAGCAAAATAATGAATTTAGGTTGATTAGCTTAATCAACTAGAATATAGCTTAATTGATTAGAATACAGCTTAATTGATTAGAATACATCATCTAGATCTAAACTGTTCAGGGAACAGTTGGCAAGGTGGCCTTGCGCTGAGAAAAAGCTCTACTCTCTGACCAAAAACTGGCTCTTACTCCCTGTTGGCATGTGCTAATATTTGTTCCCAGGAGGAAATATTAAGGCAGACTTGGTGGAACAAACCTCAAGCTCTAGTGATCTTGACAGTGGTTCATGATCAACACATTTTTTCATCAAAAGTAATCATGAGAAGCAGCTCACTTACTCTTGAGTAGAAATAGTTGATACATTTTCAATAACGATTTCTTGAACACCTCCCACCTGGAAGTTTGAAAGAGATGTAGGGCTTGGTCCCTTCTCTAAAAGAACTAAAAACCCAAGGTAGGTGAAGGCATTTACATGAATGACTACATGAAGGAGCTGAAGGACCAGAGAAACCTCTGTGGAGGAATTGGGGCTTTGGAAAGATATGTAGAGTCTCAGTAGGCCCTGTTTGTGTAGGGCTAATTTTTCCGTCTTCCTGCCTTCCAGAGCATGCTTCTCTGTGCTCCAGGGAGCTATCACTATGTGGCATGCGTGTGCATCTGGGGACTCACCAGCCTAACCCTTTTCTCAAATGGACAGGCCAGAAGCCCTGTGTTATGACCATGTGGGCTAAACAATTATGTCCCTTTGCCTTTATGTTCTTTTTTATTTTCATTTTTATGAATTTTTCGTTTTTGTGAGTGTATAGGAGGTATATATATTTATGGAGTACATGAGATGTTTTACTACAAGCATGCAATGTGAAATAAGCAAATCGTGGAGAATGGGGTATCTATCCATCCCTTCAAGCATTTATTCTTTGAGTTACAAACAATTACATTATACTCTTTATTTTAAAATGTACAATTAAGTGTTATTGACTACAGTAACCCTGTTGTTCTATCAAATAGCTGGTCTTATTCACTCTTTCTATTTTTTTGTACCCAAGTCCCTGTATTATTAAATAAATAACTTACAAGTGGAAACCATGAAGGCACAAAAAACAAGCAGTGTGCAGATCAAGGTTTGGAAACTGGTGTGAAGGACAGGGTGGTTGCTTGTGAAACTGACACCTATTCATGCATAGACATCCTTGTAATGGAGAACTTCTTTGTTTCTGCCACTCCTGAGTCCTAGTCAAAGCTGGAAGTCCTTGTTATGTGTTCATAGGTGGCCTTTGGTGATTTGGGAGGTGATTCATCAATGTTAGGGCAGCTCCCTGCTTTCACCCTTCTGCTTGACAATATGTGGGCTGGTCATCAAGCATTCTGAATCTGAACTTCAGGGCTCAGATTCCAGCTTCACTACTTACAGCAGAGTGACCTTAGGCCAACTTATTGTACATTTGTCTCAGTTTCCAACATCTCTAGAATGGGGATAAGTCTTGTACGAGGGTTTCTTATATGAGACAGTGCATTAAAGTTCATGGCACAGTGGCTGGCACACAGTAAGTAACGGGTGTTAGCTATTGCTATGATCTTTTCCTTTTTATTTACTGAGTAAGAAGGAGATTCATTTCTAAGATTATTTTTAATGTCTGTGCCTCTGGTTTCTGACTCTTTTCTTTCAGCCTGCATATAGAGATTCTCTAGCCTAAATATTCCCTGTACACTTCTCTACTCCCCACTTTTTCTTGAATCTCTCTCTCATCTATATTATCTTTGCCTCTATTTGCCATTACCATTTAACGTCATGAAAAGAAAAAGAATTCATGGTCAGCATTTC